TTTTTTTTTTTTTTAAAAGACGGGGTTTCACCATATTGGTCAGGCTGGTCTTGAACTTCTGACCTCAGGTGATCTGCTTGCCTCAGCCTCCCAGAGTGCTGGGATTACAGGTGTGAGCCACTGCACCTGGCGGCAACCGTTATTACCCAAGCCGCAATACAAAAACTGTTGAAATGGAGGATTTAGGACATAGAGCCTTGGGTAGAAGAGATACAGTAGGGCCTGGCTCTGGTTTTTGAAATTTTCAGATAAAAAAAGAAGAAAAATGGGTCCAGGCACGGTGGCTCACACCTGTAATCCCGGCACTTTGGGAGGCTGAGGTGGGTGAATCACAAGGTCAGAGTTTAAGACCAGCCTGGCCAAGATGATAAAACCCCATCTCTACTAAAAATACAAAAATTATGGCCGGGCGCAGTGGCTCAAGCCTGTAATCCCAGCACTTTGGGAGGCCGAGGCGGGTGGATCATGAGGTCAAGAGATCGAGACCATCCTGGTCAACATGGTGAAACCCCGTCTCTACTAAAACTACAAAAAATTAGCTGGGCATGGTGGCGTGTGCCTGTAATCCCAGCTACTCAGGAGGCTGAGGCAGGAGAATTGCCTGAACCCAGGAGGCGGAGGTTGCGGTGAGCCGAGATCGTGCCATTGCACTCCAGCCTGAGTAACAAGAGCGAAACTCCGTCTCAAAAAAAAAAAAAAAAAACAAAAATTAGCTAGGCGTGGTGGTGGATGCCTGTAATCCTAGCTACTGGGGAGGCTGAGGCAGAGAATTGCTTGAACCCAGGAGGTGGAGGTTGCAGTAAGTGACCTGAGATCGTGCCACTGCACTCCAGCCTGGGCAACAGTACAAGACTGCATCTCAAAAAAAAAAAAAAATAAAAATGGAATACAGATGATACCCAGAATATACTTTTTTAAACACTGCAGGGAAAACCCAACCAAAAAAAAAAAAAAAAGGCAGTGGGGGTCTCACTGTGTTGCCTAGGCTGGTCTTGAACTCCTGGGCTCAAGCAAGCCTCCCACTTCAGCCTCCCAAAGTGCTAGGATTACAGGCATGAGCCACCATGCTCAGCCCAAAGATGAGTTTTAAGTAAATTTTAAAGTATGTTCTTACCAGCTTTATAGCTTGGCCTAACTCAATACTAAATATGTAGCAGAAAATCAGTAAATATTGAAGTACATTACAAGATATGCGAAGCTTTTATTCACTGCTGTATCCTCAGTGTGTAGAAGAGTATCTGGCATATGGGAGACACTTTAGCGTTTGTTGACTGAATGCTGTTGATACCGGTACTGCTTTGAGCTGGCCCGTGGAACCTGATGTAACAAGCCCCTCCTCCCACTTCTCTCCTTTCATATGGCCCATTAGCCTGTCTCCTTCAGATGGAGCCAGTGAACTATGAACGAGTGAGAGAATATAGTCAGAAAGTCCTGGAACGACAGCCTAATAATGCCAAGGCCTTGTATCGGGCAGGAGTGGCCTTTTTCCACCTACAGGACTATGACCAGGCCCGGCACTACCTCCTGGCTGCCATCAATAGGCAGCCTAAAGGTGAGTCAAAGGGGCTTTGAAATGCTGAAGACAAAATTGTCTTGCTGGGGTGGATCTGTGGAAAGGGGATTTTATTTTACTTTGCCAATGTATTATTTTCAATAAGTAATACATTCACATGTTTGGGAATTCAAATTCTGTGAAAAAGTATACGATGACCAGGGCTTTGTTTTTTTTTTTTTTTTTTTGTTTTGTTTTGTTTTGTTTTTGACATGGAGTTTCGCTCTTGTTGCCCACGCTGGAGTGCAGTGGCACGATCTCAGCTTACCGCAACCTCCGCCGCCCGGGTTCAAGCGATTCTCCTGCTTCAGCCTCCTGAGTAGCTAAGATTACAGCAAGCGCTACCATGTCCAGCTAATTTTGTATTTTTATTAGAGACAGGGTTTCTCCATGTTGGTCAGGCTGATCTCAAATTCCCAACCTCAGGTGATCTGCCCACCTCGGCCTCCTAAAGTGCTGGGATTACAGGTGTGAGCCACCATGACCAGCCAGTATTATTAGTTTCATGTGTCAGGTGTTGATGCTTAAACAGGCATATACAATATATATGTTGGTATGTCTGTTTCGTATGTATATGTATACCTGGCTGGGTGCGATGGCTCCCGCCTATAATCCCAGCACTTGGGAGGCTAAGGCAGGTTAGGAGTTTGAAACAAACCCAACCAACATGGAGAAACCTCATCTCTACTACAAATACAAAATTAGCTGGGCATGGTGGCCCATGCCTGTGATCCCAGCTATGAGGGAGGCTGAGGCAGGAGAATGACTTGAACTTGGGAGGAAGAGGCTGCAGTAAGCCAAGATTGTGCCATTGTACTCCAGCCTGGGCAACAAGAGTGAAACACCATCTCAAAAAAAAAAAAAATGTATATAGATATCTATATGCCTATTTTAATATATAAATATATACATATGAATGTACTTTTATTTATAAATATACATAAATATATATAAAATAGGCATCATATATATATGAGATATATATGTGAAACAGACTTATATCTATGCCTATTTTATTCAGTACCATTATATATAACGCCCCCACCCCTAGGCCAAACACAAGGATTTAAAAAGTGTTGTTTTGGCCAGGCACAGTGGCTCATGCCTGTAATCTCAGCACTTTGGGAGACTGAGGTGGACAGATCACCTGAGGTCAGGAGTTTGAGACCAGCCTGACCAACATGGAAAAACCCCATCTCTATTAAAAATACAAAAATTAGCTGGGTAGGTTGGGTGCGGTGGCTCACGACTGTAATCCTAGCACTTTGGGAGGCCAAGTTGGGCAGATAACCTGAGGTCAGGAGTTTGAGACCAGCCTGGCCAATGTGGTGAAACCCCATCTATTGAAAAGAAAAAAAAAAAAAAAAAAAAAATTAGCTGGGTATGGTGGCACATGCCTATAATCCCAGCCACTCGGAAGGCTGAGGCAGGAGAATCACGTGAACACGGGAGGCAGAGTTTGCAGTAAGCTGAGATGGTGACATTGCACTCCAGCCTGGGCAACAAGAGCAAAACTCCATTTCAGGGGAAAAAAAAAAATTGTTTTTCGGGACCTGGCACAGTGGCTCACACTTGTAATCCCAGTACTTTGGGGGGTTGAGGATCACCTGAGGTCAGGAGCTAAAGACCAGCCTGGCCAACATGGCAGAACCCCATCTCTACTAAAAAAAATAAATACAAAAACTAGCCAGGCATGGTGGTGGGTACCTGTAATCCCAGGTACTCAGGAGTTGAGGCAGGGAGAATCACTTAAAACCGGGAGGCAGTGGAAGACAGTGTGGCTATTCCTCAAGGACCTAGAAATAGAAATTCCATTTGACCCAGTAATCACATTACTGGGTATATATCCAAAGGATTATAAATCGTTCTACCATAAGGGCACATGCACACGAATGTTCACTGCAGCACTGTTTACAATAGAAAAGACTTGGAACCAAACCAAATGCCCATTGATGATAGATTGGACAGGGAAATTGTGGCACATATACACCATGGAATACTATGCAGCCATCAAAAATGATGAGTTCTTGTCCTTTGTAAGGACATGGATGAAACTGGAAACCATCATTCTCAGCCAACTGACACAAGAACAGAAAATCAAACACCGCATGTTCTCACTCATAGGCCGGTGTTGAACAATGAGAACACATGGACACAAGGAGGGGAGAAATAGGGGAGGGACAGCAGGGGGTGGAGAGTTGGGGAGAGATAGCATGGGGAGAAATGCCAGATATGGGTGATGGGGTGGAAGGCAGCAAATCACACTGCCATATATGTACCTATGTAACAATCTTGCATGTTCTTCACATGTACCCCAAAACCTAAAATGTAAATAAAAAAAAAAAAAGAAGCAGAGATTACAGTGAGCCAAGATTGCACCACTAAATTCCAGCCTGGGCAGCAGAGCAAGACTCTGTCTCCAAGAAACAACAACAAAAAAGTGGTGTTTTCAAGTTCAGTTCCTGGTCTTTAAGAGTGACTGGGACTGAGCGCAGTGGCTCACACCTGTAATCTTAGCACTTTGGGAGGCTGAGGAGGTCAGATCACTTGAGGTTAGGAATTCAAGACCAGCCTAGCCAACATAGTGAAACCCCTGTCTCTACTAAAAATACAAAAATTAGCTGGGTGTGGTGGCAGGTATACCTGTAATACAGGAGGCTGAGGCAGGAAAATCACTTGAACCTGGGAGGCGGAGGTTGCAGCAAGCCGAGATTGTGCCACTACACTCCACCTTGGGAGACAGAGTGAGACTCCATCTCAAAAAAAAAAAAAAAAAAAGCCAGGCGCAGTGGCTCACGTCTGTAATCCTAGCACTTTGGGAGGCTGAGGCAAGCAGATTGCCTAAGCCCAGGAGGTCTTACCAGTCTGGGCAACACGGTGAAACCCCATCTCTACTAAAATTACAAATTAGCCAGGTGTGGTGGCTTGCACCTGTAATCCCCAGTACTCAGGAGACTGAGGCAGGGGGATTGCTTGAATCCATGAGGCAGAGGTTGTAGTGAGCCCAGATCGCACCACTGCACTCCATCCTGGGTGACAGAACGAGACTCTGTCTCAAAAATAAAATGAAAAGAGTGACTGGAATAGGATATGTGAATGCCAGTGAATACACTTGAAAATCCTCATTCTGCCAGTTCTCCAACTGGGGTTTGGCATTTGTTTTCGCTATCATTTTTATCCTTTAGCTCAGCTAACCCCAGGTATGACCTAGAAAAGGGGCAGGCCTGCTGAGAGAGAATTTGAGACTTACTTTGTTTTCAAGGCAGAAAGGAAATTGTGAGGGAGATGAGAGACTCATTCCTATGTTGGTTGGTTGAGCACTGAAAATTGTCTACCTTTTGCATTCTGGCTTCCATTGGATACTAGTAGCAGAGTCCTCAGATGTATAACACTGCAGTAAAATCTCACTCATCTAAATGACTGGGAAAGCTATTAGGAATTTCTAAAGATATAAAATATGAGCCATTTGTTCATGTTTCTCACCTTCAAGTACATAGATTGTCACCTACGTGAATAGTATCTTTAAAGGCTCTATTTTAAAATTATTATAATTTAATTTTTTTATTATACTTTTAAGTTCTGGGATACATGTGCAGAACGTTAGTTACATAGCTATATACACATGCCATGGTGGTTTGCTGCATCCTGCCATCTACGTTAGGTATTTGTCCTAATGCTATCTCTCCCCTAGCCCCCTACCCACAAGAGGCTCTACTTTAATGGTAGCTATTTCACCGATCTTCCTTTCATTATAAAATTAGCAGCCAGTGGCCAGGCTCGGTGACTCACGCCTGTAATCCCAGCACTTTGGGAGGCTGAAGTGGGTGAATCACAAGGTCAGGAGTTGAAGACCAGCCTGGCCAACATGGTGAAACCTCATCTCTACTAAAAATAGAAAAATTAGCCAGGTGTGGTGGTGCATACCTGTAATCCCAGCTACTCGGGATGCTGAGGCATGAGAGTTGCTTGAACCTGGGAGGCAGAGGTCACAGTGAGCAGAGATCACTCCACCCTGGGCAACACAGTGAGACTCTGTCTCAAAAATAAATAAATTAAAATTAGCAGCTAGTCCAGCCCTGTACAGAGATTTTTTTTTTTTGTAATTCCAAGTATTATTAATTAATGAGAGTTACTATTGCATAGAATGGTCATGATATATTTGGATCTTGGTTTTTGTTTGTTTTTGAGACAAGAGTCTCGTACTATCACCTGGGCTAGAGTGCAGTGATTGTATTTTTAGTAGAGATGGGGTATCAATATGTTGGCCAGGCTGTTCTCAAACACCTGACCTTGTGATCCACCCACCTTGGCCTCCCAAAGTGCTGAGATTAAAGACATGAGCCACCTCACCCAGCCTTTTTCTTTTTTTTTTTTTTTTTTGAGATGGAGTCTTGCTCTGTAGCCCAGGCTGGAGTGCAGGTGGCACAATCTCAGCTTACTGCAACCTCTGCCTCCCAGGTTCAAGCGATTCTCCTGCCTGGGTCTCCCGACTAGCTGGGGCTATAGGTGCGTGCCACCACACCCAGCTAATTTTTGTATTTTTAGTAGAGACAGGGTTTCATCTTATTGGCCAGGATGGTCTGGATCTCCTGACCCTGTGATCCACCCGCCTCGGCCTCCCAAAGTACTGGGATCACAGGCGTTAGCCTTGGAGAGATTTAAAAATAGGAGCATGTGGGCTGGGCGTGGTATCTCACGCTTGTAATCCCAGCACTCTGGGAGGCCGAGGAGGGCAGATCATGAACTCAGGAGCTCAAGACCAGCCTGGCCAACATGGTGATATCCTATCTCTACTAGAAATACAAAAATTAGCCAGTCGTGGTAGTGGGCACCTGTAATCCCAGCTATTTGGGAGGCTGAGGCAGGAGAATCACTTGAACCTGGGAGACAGAAGTTGTGGTGAGCTGACATAAGGCCATTGCACTGTGCTGGGCAACAGAGCGAGACTCCATCTCAAAAAATAAAAATGGGAGCATGTGGCTGTGCGTGGTAGCTCACGGCCCAGCACTTTGGGAGACCAAGGTGGGCGGATCACCTGAGGTCAAGAGTTGGAGAGCAGCCTGACCAACATGGAGAAACACCGTCTCTACTAAAAATACAAAAATTATTGGGGCATGGTGGCACATGCCTGTAATCCCAGCTACTTGGGAGGCTGAGGCAGGAGAATTGGTTGAAACTGGGAGGCAATTGCTTGAACCTGGGAGGCAGAGGTTGTGGTGAGCCGAGATCGGGCCATTGTACTCCAACCTGGTCAACAAGAGTGAAACTCCATCTCAAAAAAAAAAAAAAAAGGGGCCAGGCACAATGGCTTATGCTTGTAATCCCAGCACTCTGGCGAACATGGTGAAACCTCGTCTCTACTAAAAATACAAAAATTAGCTGGGTGTGGTGGTGCATGCCTGTAGTCCCAGCTACATGGGAGTCTGAGGAAGAGAATCACTTGAACCCGGGAAGGAGAGGTTGCAGTGAGCTGAGATTGTGCCACACTGCACTTCAGTGTGGGCGACAGAGTGAGACTCTGTCTCAAAAAAAAAAAAAAAAAAAAAATGGTGGGAGCATATTAACAATTCTCTCCTGCCACAAGGTACAATTATGGTCTTTACTATGTTTCTAATTGCTTCTCTATCATCTTCTAAGATGCCAACGTCCGGCGGTACCTCCAGCTAACACAGTCAGAACTCAGCAGCTACCATAGAAAAGAGAAGCAACTCTACCTGGGCATGTTTGGTTAACAAAGAAGAAAGATGCTCCTCCACTTGAACTTAGGTGGGCCATTAAACATGCATCAAGGAGAAACCTGAGCCTCAGCAAGAGAAATTTACCCTATACCTCTGACCCAGGTGGATTTCTGTTTCTAGTTTTGCACAAACTTCACTACATAGACAGTCTGAGTCCTTTTCTGTCTGTCCATCTGTATATTTCTGTAGCTTTCGATACATGTTATTGTTGGGGCTGTTTGCCTTGAGAAATACAATCAGAAAACATCAGCTGTGGGTGGAATTAATTATATTTCTGGCATAGATTTTTCATGATAATGTTGTTAGATGTATTCATATATAGAGGCGAGGACTTGCAGAGGATGACATAGTAAGGATAGGCAGAAAGGTCTATTTTTTTCAGAAGCCCAAACCAAAGTAGGAAATCTGGCTGGTCGTGGTGGCTTGTGCCTGTAATCCCAGCACACTGGGAGGCCAAGGTGGGCAGATACCTTGACTCCAGGAGTTCAAGACCAGCCAGGGCAACACAGTGAAACCCTGTCTCTACAAAAGATACAAAGATTATCAGGGCCTGGTGATATGCACCTGTAGTCCCAGCCATTCTGGAGGCTGAGGTGGGAGGATTGCTTGAGTTCTGGGGGGCAGAGGTTGCAGTGAGCTGAGATCCTGCCACTGCACTCCAGCCTGGGCAACAGAGTGACATGCTCTCAAATTAATAAGCCCAAACATATTAAAGTAACTGTTTGTGTGTGTGTGTGACAGAGTCTCACTCTGTTGCCCAGGGTGGAGTGCAGTCATGCCGTCTCGGCTCACTGCAGCCTCTGCCTCCCAGGTTCAAGTGCTTCTTGTGCCTGAGCCACCCAAGTAGCTGGGATATAGGAATGCGCCACCATGCCCAGCTAATTTTTTTGTATTTCTCTTTTAGTAGAGACATGGTTTTGCCATGATGGCCAGGCTGGTCTTGAATTCCTGGTCTCAAATGATCTGCCCACCTTGGGCTCCCAAAGTGCTGGGATTACAGGTATGACCCACTGTGCTGGCCGAAGATAACCATTTTGCTTAAATTATTTTTTTCTTTTTCTCTTTTTTTTAAATCTTAAGTTCCAGGGTACATGTGCAGGATATGGAGGTTTTGTTACATAGGGAAACGTGTGCCATGGTGGTTTGCTGCATCTGTCAACTCATCACCTAGGTATTAAATCCAGCATGCATTAGCTATTTTTCCTCATGTTCTCCCTCCCCTACCACCCCTCCTTAAATTAATTTCTTATCCTCCTTAATATTCCACATACATTCAAATTTCTTCTCCCCTAAGAAAATATTTGCTTTCACCGGAACTTTGGGAGGCTGAAGTGGGTGGATCACGAGGTTAAGAGATCAAGACCATCCTGGTCAATATGGTGAAACCCTGTCTCTACTAAAAATACAAAAATTAGCCGGGCATGGGGGTGCACACTTGTAGTTCCAGCTACTTGGGAGGCTGAGGCAGAAGAATTGCTTGAATCCAGGAGGCAGAGGCTGTGGTGAGTCGAGATCACGCCATTGCACTCCAGCCTGGGTAATAAGAGTGAAATGCCATCTCAAAAAAAAAAAACTTTTGCTTTCTATTTTTTTCCTTGCTATTGCTTGTACCTAGATCATTAATATATTTGTTTATTTTTTCATTAAAGTATTTTAAAACCTTTGGAGTCAAGCATTTAAGTATATATTTAATAAACCCTCAGACTTCATGCCAAATAAAACACCTAAGTGAACATTTCAATTTTTAATAGGTGCATATCTGTAGTATGCCCATTTCTCTAAAAAAATAAATAAATAGGGCCAGGCACGGTGGCTCACGCCTGTAATCCCAGCACTTTGGGAGGCCAAAGCAGGTGGATCACGAGGTCAAGAGATTGAGGCCATCTTGGTCAACATGCTGAAACCCCGTCTCTATTAAAAATACAAAAAATTGGCCAGGCGCGGTGGCTCAAGCCTGTCATCCCAGCACTTTGGGAGGCCGAGGCGGGTGGATCACAAGGTGAAGAGATCGAGACCATCCTGGTCAACATGGTGAAACCCCGTCTCTACAAAAAATACAAAACATTAGCTGGGCATGGTGGCGCGTGCCTGTAATCCCAGCTACTCAGGAGGCTGAGGCAGGAGAATTGCCTGAACCCAGGAGGCGGAGGTTGCG